CTATCTCAAATCCACAATGTATTTCATGTTAGTATGCTGAAGAGGTACAAAGTGGATCCTTCCCATGTTATACAACCAGAAGATATCGAGTTGGGTCTAGATTTGACATTTGAAGAGGTTCCAGTTGAGATTGTTGATTTCCAGATTAAGAATCTTCGTAGGAAGGAAATCCAAATGTTGAAAGTGGTTTGGAGAAATCAAGAAAGTGAGAGTGCTACCTGGGAGACTGAAGCAAGTATGCGAGAGAAGTACCCTGAGTTGGTACCGACATACTTTGCAGGTTAACAATCTTGCTTAATAAGTTATGTTTTGAACTTGCTGATGTTCTTTTGTTGTGATAGCCCAGTATAGGTTTTTGAAAACTAAAAATGGGAACTTGAGGTGTTATGTGTTTAGTTATGTACTTCAGATCTCCTAACCTAAGAGTTAGGTAGTAACAATATATGTGATAGTGTCTGCCCGGAGGAGAACGAGCGGACGCGTAGTATCAACTCATGATTAGATTTCGGGGACGAAATCTTTTAAGGAGGGGAGATTTGTAACATCTCGTTCCGGAAAAACCCATATTTTGATCGCTAGAAAGTTCGCGATTTAAAATCGAGTGTTTTGATAGTATTTCGACAAAAATCGGATTATCGATCGATCGGATAAGTATACGGATTAATTATATATATATATTAGTAAGCGGTCTCTCATTATAATTCCCATCCATTTCTTCTTCTTCTTTCATTTCGGTTGATAGAAACGGAGAAGCAGAGCCGCGCAGAGCTCTGGGGAAAAATTTTCGTAGCTCGATTCTTGAGCTATACTGATCCAAAAATCCCATAAGTAATGCCTAATTCATCTATACATCTTGATTTATCGATTTAGAGCTTTAAAACTAGTTTCTGGTTCAGGAATTTCTTGAATTCCCGATAAGCCAAATTAGGGTTTCGGAGTATCCGGAAGCCGGATTGAGCCCAAATTTCATATACGAGCTTCCTACAGCGAGGTAATCAATCATCTAGTTCTAATTCCTGAATTTCGGCTATTATTTAGATCGGAGCCGAAATCGCTGAATTTAGCTACGGCGAGGGTTTGATGTGTTTTTATCAAGAATTTGACCCAGAGCCTAGAACTAATATTGACGGGGATACTGCAGGGGATATTAGGACGGTCTCGGATTTTAATTCGGGGTTCGTTCGTGAAATTGACGTTTTAGTACGGGAAGATTAAACCGGTGTTTGAACGTCCAGAACTGGTGAGGGATTAGCACGGCATACCGGGTTTGTCGTATCATGATAATTATGTTGATGCTTAGAATTGACCTAGGTGATATAGAATGGCATGATTAGGTGTGTATAGACTTTTATTCTATATGATGAACCATGGATTACTGTATATGATATTATGTACTTGCCCTAATCGATATGGACCTTGTTTATGTTGATGATTGTGTATATGTTGCAAATTGTGGGCTTGACTGTTAATATGCTTTATGATGGTTCGAGAAGGTGATTAAGTATGATTTTTCATGATTGTTGTATTTGGATGCACAAGTGGGAAAATATATGTTCCCTGGTGATATTATGATGTTTTAAGGAGGATGACTTGCACGAGGGTTTATCCCGAGGAAGTGCAACTATACGACTCCTGGTTTACCTATGTTGAGCCAATTATGGTCAGGTCAAGTACATGTGCAAGTAACGAATTATGATTAAGCAAGATGAGATATGAATCATGTATAAGGATTGAGTGTTGTGGTCTCACGGTCAACTACATAGTAATTAGGGCTCCCTATGCTACTACTCTATTATGATATGTATGATAGTCACACCTCTCATGTGGTGGTGACTGAAGAATTCTTATGAGATATGACTACACCCATAGTGGTGTGGGGTATGTATGACCAAATCCGATGGGATGTTGTGGTATGTATTACATCCGACGGGATGTTGGGAAAGTTGATGATATGTGTATATTTTTGTAATTATGTAAGTTGTGACGATTATGGCTTGTATCAGTATAGTATGCAGTTGTGTAGTATGAAACTGTGACTATGGCTATGAAAGCCAATGCTTATGGTTGTGAGTATATATGTTTGTGATGAATTATTTTGCAGGATAAGTTGCAAGAACTGTTAGCCCATTACGCGAGTAATTCATGTCGAAATTTTATTTAGGTAAATTTTGATAATTAATGTAACACCCGAGATTAATTCCGCTGCAATTGTATGAACAATATGATTAGGAAAAACGGATAGGGTAGGGTGTTACAATGGAAGAGAGGAAACACATAAGGAATTAAGGAAGGAAAAATATGAAATTATAAAAGTCCCACTGATTTGACCCATAATTAAAAGAGGGCATAAAATATGAAAGTTTTCACTTCTCAAATTAAAAGAGGGCCTAAATTCTTTTATTTGAAAGGCGGATAATCACAAAAAGTTAATCTTTTTTTCAAAATTTTAATGTCCCCATTGATTTGCCACTAATCTCTAGTGTTAGTATCCATGCAACCTCCTTCCTGATCTTCTCCTTCCCGTAAGAGAAAGGGAAAGATCCAGATGGATGAAACAGATGGAAGAAAATTCGTGACTTTGAGTATGAAAGAGAGGAAACGTATAAGGAATTAAGGAAGGGGGGAAAATGAAATTAAAGAAGTCTCGCTGATTTGACCCATAATTCAAAGAGGGCATAAAATATTAAGGTTTTCACTTCTCAAACTAAAAGAGGGCATATATTTTTTTATTTGAAAGGCGGACAATCACAAAAAGTTAGTCATTTTTTCAAAATTTTAATGTCCCCATCGATTTGCCTCTAGTCTCTAGATTTAGTATACATGCAACTTCTCTACAATTAAAATAGGGCATAAAAATTGAAGGGAAAAAACCAGCAAACCATGGCAAGCAAGAAAAACACTCCTTATTTCACCCATCTCTATCATATTTTTGCAACTACACAAGTCACAAAGGAAGAACAAGAAATAAAAACATTCAAATCCATTTTCTCCTATTTCCCATGCAAGTTTTTTTTTTCTATCTCCCAAATCTCTGATTCTCTATATAATTTTGTAAATTCTATGGCGAATCAATAGGGGTATAGGGTGGTCCTGCTTCTTCTCTAGCATATTATAGGGATCAGTTAAAATAACTCTTCCTCTAGCATATTCATCAACAACTAAAAGGAAAAATGGACAAAAAAGACCCTTCTGGGAACATTGTAATAGTCATGCATCATTCTTGCATGAGATCAAGCACTGATCGCTCACAATTTCAGTCTGCCTCTCTGAATCTTTTATTAGAGCCCATTGATTTGCCTCTAGTCTCTATAGTTAGTATATATGCAACTTCTCTACAATTAAAATAGGGCATAAAAATTGAAGGGAGAAACCAGCAAACCATGGCAAGGAAGAAATGGCAGACAAAACAATCTCCATTGATGATAAATTATGTTTTTCATACCCTATTGATTTGACCATTATAAAAGTGTGGACATTGAAATATTAATTGTCACGTCACTAGACAATTAGTTATTTATTAGACCCCTATAAATTAGAGACTCATCTAGAGGTCTTCTCATCTCTTGAAAAACAAAAAAATAATAAGAGAAATATTTTTCCTTTTTTGTTTTCATTTATTTTTTATATTTAATTTCATCACTTTTCACTCCCTCTACCTCTCTCACGTAGTAGTAGAAGAAGAAAAAGAAGAAGAAGAAGGGAGGGTGAGCAAGAAAAGCACTCCTAATTTCTTCCATCTCTATCATATTTTTGCAACTTCACAAGTCACAAAGGAAGAACAAGAAACAAAAACATTCAAATCCATTTTCTGCAATTTCACATGCAAGTTTTTTTCTCTCTCCCAAATCTCTGATTCTCTATATAATTTGTAAATTCTATGGCGAATCAATAGGGGTATAGGGCGGTCCTGCTTCTTCTCTAGCATATTATAGGTATCAGTTAAAATAACTCTTCCTCTAGCATATTCATCAACAACTAAAAGGAAAAATGGACAGAAAAGACCCTTCTGGGGAACATTGTAATAGTCATGCATCATTCTTGCATGAGATCAAGCACTGATCGCTCACAATTTCAGTCTGCCTCTCTAAATCTTTTATTGGACCCCATTGATTTGCCTCTAGTCTCTATAGTTAGTATATATGCAACTTCTCTACAATTAAAATAGGGCATACAAATTGAAGGGAGAAACCAGCAAACCATGACAAGGAAGAAATGGCAGACAAAAACAATCCTCATTGATGATAAATTAATTTTTTAATACCCTATTGATTTGACCCTTATAAAAGTGTGCACATTGAAATATTAATTGTCACATCACTAGACAATTAGTTATTTATTAGACCCCTATAAATTAGAGACTCATCTAGAAATCTTCTCATCTCTTGAAAAACAAAAAATAATAAGAGAAACATTTTTCCTTTTTTGTTTTCATTTAGTTTTTATATTTAATTTCATCACTTTTCACTCCCTCTCCCTCTCTCACGAAGAAGAGGAAGAAGAAAAGGGAAGGGTGAGCAAGAAAAGCACTCTTAATTTCTTCCATCTCTATCATATTTTTGCAACTTCACAAGTCACAAAGGAAGAACAAGAAATAAAATCATTCAAATCCATTCGGTGCAATTTCCCATGCAAGTTTTTTTTTCTATCTCCCAAATCTCTGATTCTCTATATAATTTTGTAAATTCTATGGCGAATCAATAGGGGTATAGGGCGGTCATGCTTCTTCTCTAGCATATTATAGGGATCAGTTAAAATAACTCTTCCTCTAGCATATTCATCAACAACTAAAAGGAAAAATGGACAGAAAAGATCCTTCTGGGGAACATTGTAATAGTCATGCATCATTCTTGCATGAGATCAAGCACTGATCGCTCACAATTTCAGTCTGTCTCTCTGAATCTTTTAATGGTATAGCAGCAAAATATGAAGGTTTTCACTTCTCAAATTAAAAGAGGGCATAAATTCTTTTATTTGAAAGGCGGACAATCACAAAAAGTTAGTCCTTTTTCAAAATTTTAATGTTCCCATTGATTTGCCTCTAGTCTCTAGAGTTAGTATCCATGCAACTTCTCTACAATTAAAAGAGGGTATAAAAATTGAAGGGAGAAACCTGCAAACCATGGCAAGCAAGAAATGGCAGACAAAAACAATCCCCATTGATGATAAATTAATTTTTTAATACCCTGATGATTTGACCCTAATAAACAGTAACCTTAAAACCTCTCTTTTAAGTGTATAGTATAATAATAAATAAATAAATAATAATAATAATATCTCAAAAGAAAAATAGGAAAGAAAAGAAAAGGCATAAGATATGAAAAACCCTGAGTAACCCTGTTTCCAAAACGGGTAAAAAAAACCCTATGTTTTCTCATAACAGTAGGAAATAAACCATTGGACCCGCACAAAAGAGTAGTAGACATCATGGTTTTAACATCCTCAGATGAAATGAACGGTAGACTCTAATCTCATACGGAAAGCCCTTTCCATGCTTCTAAATAGCTAAGCTAACAACTGAAACATTTTTTTTATTCCTGAAGAACAACTAACAACTGAAAACTCATAGCATACTAAGTTGTGATACCAACTGATATCTGGATTCAGGTTAAAGGAACAGAGTCGTTTCCAGCAATTGCCTCTGGATTTGGCTCAGCAAGTAGTCGTTGCCTGGAACTCTCGCTGTCCAAGTCATGTCCAGGGACTGGATCCTTCTCACTGTTGCAGGAGAAATGAGTCACAAGCTAATTCACCATCGATGCAAAAAATCTTCCGTCGGAAAGAAAACGGATCAAAGCTTACTTTCGGGAGTACATGACTAATCCAAGAAGTACAACTGCAAATGCAAGAAAGTATAGCCAGTCCACCTGCAAATGTTCTCACAAGGCAATATCAGTATGAAAATGGTTAATCAGCCAACCGTCCCTCTAAACTAGTGCATACATGGACACATCGCCACAACATTACAATTACCAACCTTCTGGTGGTAGAAGAAGATCCGAATAACAACAGCCCACATATCACAAGTGAGGGATGAGAGATTCAACATTGTGGCTCCGCTCAACTGCACGATGAACAACAAAACAGATGCTCCCAACTAGTAACCACCTGATGATTTTCAAACTTTTTTAGGATGGAGAGTGTCAGGGGAACGAAGACAAAACCTTGAGAACATAAGGAGCCATGGAGTACAAGGAGAAAAACGAGAGGGTGTAGCCAGTGATGGCCCATGTCTGGAACCATATAACAGACAGGTATCCATGACAGCAGTTTGTGATCTGTTGTTTCAGTTACTCAATTCATCAGTGATGCTCACCATTTCTGCAGACCAGTTCACTGACGCTAGCCCTTCCAACTCAAATGCAAATCTATGGTAATGAGTTATGATTATGGAAAATATTCTCAACAAACAATCTAAGGATGTGATCATGTGAACTATATCAAAGAGGATACAGCTCAACCAAACTGAATAGAAACCCGAAAACACCGAGCATCGATAACACCTCCTCAACCAGACCTCCATCCTTCAAAATGAACTCCTGAGAAGTAAACATTGGATGATCTTCTACCACGAAGAACGATGGCAAAATCCTAGTCTTTCAGGGTAATAAAGATCGCTTCCTAACCTGGCTAACGTTGGACGAGGCATAGAAAATTGTTGACACAACCACCAGTCCATCACCGAGAAGAGGCATCGACCCACCTGCAGATTTAGGAATGCGAGTAATGTTAATGAAAGTGTAAAACATTGGTGTAATACCTTATTTTGGCCCAAACTATAACCATATAATCAACTTTGGCTCGTGGTTTCAGAAATTAACATCATGGCCACAACTATGCATCATAAAGACTCAATTGGCCCGACACATAGTTTGACTGTCAATTTGGACGGTCAACACTATTGACCATTAGTCAACGCGCCATGTCATTGCCTAGTCAACCTAAAAATCATTAAAAAATTTAAATTCAAATTATTTTCCTAATTATTATTATTTATCATTTTTCAAATTAATCAAAAAATACAATTTTAAAAATATAAAATAAAATTTATGTTTTTATCTTTCGGGACATTTGAAAATGATAAAATTAAAAAATATAATTATTTTTTTGCTAATTTAAATAATCAGTAATAATTTGATAATTTTTGATTAATTTATAAAATTCATCATTTTCAAATAACACAAAATAAAATATTTTTTTATTTTTTGGTTAATTTGATAATGATAAGTAATACAAATTAGGAAAATAATTTAAATTAGAAAATTTATTTTTGGGTTTATGATTTTTATATTTTCTAAATTTATAACATTTAATTTGGTAGTTTTTTGTTAATTTATAAAATTTATCATTTTCAAATGTCCCAAAAGATATAACATAAAATTTATTTTATATTTTTAGAAATTTATTTTTTGGTTAATTTGAAATGATAAATGATAGAAATTAGAAAAATAATTTAATTTTGAATTTTTGAAGGATTTTAAGGCTGACGAGGCAATGACGTGTCGCGTTGACTAACAGTCAACGGTTTTGACCATCCAAATTGACGGTCTAACCTTGGGTCGGGCCAATTGAGTCTATATGTTACATAGTAGAGGCCATAATATTAATTTATGAAACTACGGGCCAAAATTGATTATATGATCATAGTTCAGGCCAAAATAAAGTATTTACCCTAAAACATTGGACCATGGCAAGTCTTCCTTTTCTGTTACCTACTTACCACCACCATCATCAGACTCAGCATCAGACAGGAGAACCAGAGCGAGGCCAATCACACAAACCGCTGAACCAACTAGCTGCAGGATCGAGTAACGGGTACCCAGGAACATCCGAGTGAGAATGATTCCCCACGGTATCGTCCAGCAAACCAGTAATGTGATGCTGGTAATTGAGGAGAACTGGTATGCTTTATTCACTGAAAGCACAGAAACCGCTTCAGTGTCTGATTACACAAATTCGAGGTAAAAAAAAAAGAATAGAAGGGAAAAGGTTAGCTTACGGAGGAAATTGGAGTGCATATCCAGAAATGCAACGGGAATGTACCAATACCAAGAAACCTGCAGTTTATGGCGTCGGTAGAGCAGTATAGCACCATAAACCGAGGCCAAGCTGAAGTAACTGAAGCAGCTTTGAGCCAGGGGCGAATCAACACCTGCTCCAACAATTTTCATAAACAGCAGTGGATGATATCATAAACTCAAAACGAATGGAACGAAAAGGGTAAGAAGAAGAAGATCCAGACCCAGAGAAGCTAGGAGGGAGGTGTTGAAGCCGGCGAGTGCGAGGCACAATGAAACTCCCTGACCCAAGAGCAGTGCCCAGCACACTCTCCCACTGATGCTAAAACTGCCCATAGCTCTACCTCTACGGGATCAAACTACAGAGGTTCCTCTTTTTGGTGGGTATCGAATTTATTAAGGCAATGAATGACTGCATGAAGAAGAAAGAGCTTGATGGCTGAGGCCAGAGGCAAGTTCTGTGGTCCAAATAATGCAAGCCGACCAATAATTGGGCATTCTCTTTTTACCGGGTCCCCATTGAGAGAGTGAAAGATGACAGGCGGTGACATGGAAGCAGGAGCACCGCAAAAGAATTGAATTGAGGGAAGACCGGTGGGGTAGGTAGGAATACTAGGTTGGGGGATAGGAATCGTCAACGATATAGAAGACAATTTTTTTGATAATGATGAAATAAGATTAATAATTGAGAGAAGAAAGGCTGGACCACGCTCCAAAACAAGAACAGAACAGAAAAAAAGCCCAGCACTGGGGAAGAAAACGCCCAGCCCAAACAACAACAAAAAATACAGCAAAAGGGGATCCAAATTGTTCAGCTATCGACTAAATTAACAATCACCGATATGGAAAACACTTGATCCTTGATATTGCGAATCCACCCCTCCACATAAGCATTCTCAATTTTGTTGGCAGCACACAACCAGCTAGAGATCATATGGCCGATCTTGACGCAAACAGCTTTAATAGTGTCGCTCTCCTATCTAAAAATTTTGGCGTTTCTTTCTAGCCAAACGCACCAACAGATAGCATGGAGCAGTGGCGGACCCAGGATTTTGGTATAGGTGTGTCGGCCAATAAAAAAAAATTAATTAATTGATTTAAAATAAATATAAAAAATTTATTCATAAAGTTCACCAGTTTCATTATTTTTGCCTGTGAACCATGACGAGTTTTCATATTCTGAAAAATTTCTTAACTACATTTGCTCATTAGGGTGCAAATCAAATATATTTTTTATGTACACAACTAAAAAATTATTCATAAATTGATCACTCAACTTATACCAAAGATTTTTCTCGATTAAACGCATACATGAAAAATGTAATTTTGTAGCTTACAGTTGCAATATGTAAAGTCAACACTAATTTAATATGAGAAAGCTGGTATGAGAAGCCGGAAGGGTGGCCACAGGCGTCAATGTGTAAGTTTGAAAGAGAATGAGGATGTCGCTGGCTCGATGCTGACAACCAGACGGTGGCGACAGGCGTCAACGTAGAAAGAAATAGCTAAACTAGAAAGCAAGTAGAAGGTTAACTTAATAAGAATCCATGGAAGAAGTTATGGGGAAAGACTATATGGAATTCACTATCTAATTACGTGACTCAACCAGATTATTAATCAATTTAATTGTCATTCAATTTATTGAGGTTATTTGTAAGGTGATAGCTATCTTTCTGAATACTCACTAAGTAGTAAGTAGTCAATTAATTGTTTACTCTTGTACAACCAACTAATTAACTACCTAATATGAAATCCGATAACTCCTATATTTACATATTTTAATACTATTATCACAATAATTTTTTGTAATGTAATAAGGTTAAGCTGCGTCGATTATAATTATTGGAGGTGTGTCAGAGGTCTATTGTACGAATTTTTTACACCGAAAAAATGTGAGTTCCTCACAAAAATTTTGGAGCAAGGTGTGTCGGGTGACACACCTTGCTACAAGGTGAGTCCGCCCCTGGCATGGAGCAGCACGGAATAGCACCACTCGCGGGGAGAGCATGGTTGTTTGCTAGGCCAGACTTGATGGTGTCTGAGATGTTATTCGAACTGATTCTGAAATCCACGAAGTTGCTCATCCTTCTCCAGACTTCTCTCGATAAATTGCAGGTCAAGAACAGGTGATCGATGTCTTCTTCTTCGACTATGCACAGTGCACATCGGCTAGGGAAAGCCCATCCTCTCCGCTTGAGCGCATTATGAGATAATATCTTCCTCTGGAACACAATCCAAATGAAGACGCATACTTTATGAGGAACGACCGCCTGCGAAATGACTTTGGAAGGGAAATCAACAACTCCTGGAAATCGCTCCTTGATCACAGCATTGTAGTACGAGTGCACTTTGAACCCACCATTAGAGGGAACCCAAACCAATTTCGAAGGACCTGCAAAAGAAAAGGAATTTGATATACCATCAAGGAAGCTCATGAGGTGTAATCTTTCAGTTTCAGCCCTACCCCTCAAGATGTGCTTCAATGGAATTTCCCAAGTTATTCTCCCAGATGATTTTCAAAGACATCGGCAACACGACATCTCGGTGACACGGCAGCGGCAACGACCCTCGGGAAACCAGTCGCCAGCGGATGGTCCTTAGCCCACACATTGTACCAACAAAAGGAGACCTCATTTCCAGTTCCCGAATCAATGCGAGCTAGTTTCCAAAACTCATTCTTCAGTTTTGAAATCTGAGACCTTTAAATTCACCTGGTAACCACTCAGAAGAGTCATTAGGATATTTTAAACTCATCAACTCTCTCCACCACGAACTCCGATCATGAGCGCACTTCCACCACCACTTGCACAGGAGAGCTTGGTTCCTAACTCTTGTATCTGCAATGCCAAGACCCCCAAGACGTTTCGGAGCTTTACATCTTTCCCACGCAACAAGGTGGATCTTCTTTTCGGCGTGACCTCCATTCCAAATGAAATCTCTCTACAGTTTCTCTATCTTTTCAATAACCGAAGCTGGTGCCTCAAAAAGGCCACAGAGGTAGAGTGGCTGGCTAGCTAGAACCGCATTACAAAGCGTGATTCTCCCACCCAGTGATAAAGACTTACCTCGCCATCCTTCCAAACGACCTGCATTCTGTTCAAAACAAGGTTCCAAATCCTAGTAGAAGAAGGAGAAGCACCAAGTGGGAGCCCAAGGTAGACTTGAGGGAGGAATCCCCAATCGCAGCCAAGAATTTCAGCAAGTCTTCGAATGTTGTCCACTTCTCCGATGGGAAACAACTTACTCTTCTGAAAATTTACTCTGAGGCTCGTAATCAGTTGAAGGCATAAAAAAGCTGCTATTAAGTTGAAAACCGTTTCCTCAAAGGCGTCACAAAAAACAATGGCATCATCAGCATAAAGGAGATGATTGACCTCCCCCTGCCTGCCTCTATAATCCATAAAGAAACCATTGACAATCCCAGCATCTTGCATCTTATTCATAATGAAAGAAAACACGTCCATAACAAGGTTAAACAAGAAGGGTGATAAAGGGTCCTTGCTTGAGACCCTGTTGCATACCAAAGAAACCCGCTGCTTCTCCATTAACGAGGACGGAGAGTTTTGCATTCGACACCAAGCCCCTGATCCACTTCTGCAATCTTGCGTTCATTCCTAAGTTCTTAATCACATGGAACAAGCAATCCCAGCTAACAGAGTCGAACGCTTTTTCAATGTCAAGTTTGAGAGCTACCCCAGGTTGACCACTACGCCTTCTACTATCGATCAACTCGTTGGCGATGAAACAGGCTTCATGGATCTGCCTTTTCCTTGAACCAGAAAATTGGGAGCTTGAAATCAAGTCATGCATGTAAGGTCTGAGGCGATTAACCAACACCCAATAAATACAATTAACTAGCGACAGAGGAAGCTAGTCATAGATTTGTTTGATGGGTAGAAGCCGCCGACGGCGTTGCAGCAGTCGTCGACGATGAGGATGGGAAAACAGAGCCCCGACAGGGAGGGCAGATGCTGTTCTTACTTCTTGCTAAGCCACGCATCGATGCGTTGCTTATGATAAATATGGCCCTCGCTCCGATCTCCCGCCGCCGCCGCCGCAGTGCGTTTCTTCTCCTCCGCCAGCGACCTCGAACTCGAGAATCTCGCCTACAATGACTCGCGGCCTGCCGTTTGTGGCCAGCAGAGGGTCAAGTACAACCCCATCACCGGCAAGGGAATCAGTAGCACTTCCAAGATGATTGGAATAGGCGCCGACACATGATAGTAATATTGATCCATTGTTATTGTTGCTCAACTTTTGTTTCTTGCTCTTGAACGATTAAATAGTAACCAGAGGTAACAACGTTGCTGCGGGTACGCCGGCGGCGGGATGGCGGTTGGTCAGTATATAGTAACTAGATAATAGCACAGGAGTCGGCCGTTTTGAAGGAAGAATTTTGTCGAGAAATATGATATATGATAATGGATATATAATAGATGATTGTAAATGCATAAAATAATTGTTTTCTACCTTAATTATGCACATAACATTTTTGAAAGTGATCCAACTATGCATAATTTGTTTAGACCTCCATAAAAAGAGAAAAATATAATATAAGCATTACTTGTATTTATTGAATGAAAAAAGAAATAAAAATAACTAATTGTCATTAATTACTTAATAAAACCATATAGTTGAATATTAGAGTTGCTTCTCATAATACATAATTACATACATCATCAATCCTGCTCCCCCAACTCTTCGAGCAAAGACTCCGCGTAAAGTGTTGGGAAATGTCCATGTTCGAACTCTCGAACATATTCCACGCTTGCTGAAAGGGTCCTGATGTAGTGGGATCATTCGGATTGTTAAAACCTCTAGCAGATGGTTTGAAATTGCGAGATGCATGTGAATAAGATCCAGCCACGGCCAAACTAATAAATAGTGAGTTAGTTAAAAATCTCGTTGATGAACCAGTTTATTACGTAAAAAGCTTTTTCTCATGTTGCATTTCTTTAGTTTGGAAGTTCCAGTATGTTGTCTGTGGATTTCTAACAAAGGAAAGCACTCTTATGCCATTTGATTAATTAAAGTACCGTGCTGCTCGCCACTCCCCGAGGCCAAGGACAGGGTAGAACCGCGAATGGTCTTTTCAACCTTAAGTCTGCATACTCACTTACGGATGACGAGGAGAAATCAGGGGGTAACCAGTGGCGGACCCAGGATTCACGTACATGTGTGTCGGTCGATAAAATTAAATAAAATAATGAATAAATTTTAATTATATTTTACTATGAAACACAATGAGAAGTGGGATCGAAATATGTAAAGGGAAAACTAGGTTTTTATAATAAGATAGACAATAATAAAGAGCGGTAGTCCATATGCAACCAGACTCCCGATGAAAGAGCATTTTTTGTCACTAGGTGGACAACTATGTTAAAGCTACAAGGATCAAGAAGAAACGAAACTTGTTCAGATAGAAAGAAAAAGGAGAAAACTTCATTACGATTACCCCTGCCTAAGACCTAAGAGCAATAAATCATTGCATCTAAATGCTTAAGCAATGGAAAGAATCCCAAATTTTTCATAAGTTAACTAAAATTTAAAATAAATAATATATACTTACGTATTTTGGGAACTTTATGACACCCATTT